TAAGCATAAACAAAGCAAAACATTTCCATCCACTTCAAGCTTTTTTCTCCCCTCAGTAGAATAGACACCATAAAAAAACACACGGGTCACATGATTAGGTACACAATAAAAGAATCATGTTGACCCTTTGTTTTCAGAACTGCACAACTGAAACATATTTTAGGAGTTTTCATAATGTGTTTCCATGTTTTCATCCCTGCAAGATCTCTTTGGGTACTCCAGCTTCCTCATACAGTCTTAAAAATAGAGTGTTAGGTTAGTTAGTTAGTTAGTTAGTTATTTTCTGCAGGACTAAGTTCATCCATGCATGGATGTTTGTCTATAGTGTCTGTGTTTCTCTGTGAAGCACTACTTTATAGAGCAACGTGGATGGGACATGATCAATAATCATACTTAGGTAGGCTTTGGTGTTTAAACTAAACAATGCTCTGTTGGTGCATTGTTCTGGGCTGATAGGATTTTCCTTTTGTGCTTCTGCAGTCCATTTGTTTTATGATTCAACATGTAGTCAACCTATTCTTTTCACCAGTTTCAGTTTCTTTATTATTTATTCTACATTGACTGAAAACTCATAATTGCGCTGACTGTACAAATTAAAGTCATGCTGTTTTTAAATGTTTGACCAAGCTTGTTAATCTATTGTTGTAATTAAGTGAGCTTTACTGGTATTTATGTCTGTGTTAAAAAAGGTCTTAAGAACATTTTTAAGAACATCTGTATTGGATGGGTAATGACTGATACTCAACCTCAGATATTGAGTATGGTACCAGAAGGGAATAAATTGGCTGGGGATATCCTTGATAATTTTGAATATTTCATTAGCTCATTTCTAATCATCTCAAAAGCCTCCTGATTTTGTCTACATGTCAGTAATCCTGGTTTAGTCTCATGGAACAGAACGTGAACATCAAGCACAACATTTGGATAAACCTCAGACCAGATTGTTCCAGCAGTTGAATAGTCAAGGTCTCTGGTGTGATGCATCAGAACCAAGATGATTGGTTTCTTCAATGATGACACTGAAACAGAAGACAGATGTGATTAGATCACATTTAAAGAATCACTTTTTTCTGCAGTGTGATTATTAAGGTACACAATTAAAGGCAGTAAATAATTCTATTCTAAAAATGTCTGATTTTTCTGCCTTTTGAAATAGCAAATAAAAAAATCTTCACAGTGACACTCTTCCACACAATTTAGACAAGTTTTTGGCTCAACTTTTTCTTCACCAAAACAGACTAGAAGTTCACAGATATTGTCAGAAAATGGCCCAATCAGCCTATATCTTACAACCACTTAAACAAGACACCAATTTACCTAATCTCCTCAACTTGAGACAGACACTGACCATCAATCAGAACTGAACATCTAGTTTTTAAATAAGGAGGAGAAACATGTTTTATATTTCTAAGTGTCGTCTTGTTATTTAGAAGTTCTCTTTTTTAACAGTTAAAAAATTGGAACAACCAGTGGGTCTATTATCTAGTTAAAATAAAACATTCCTTCATACAAACTGGGAAACAAAGTTCAAAAATGCAAAACAAACTCAAACATTTAGTGGTAATTCTGTATTGACAGGCAAACTTTCTATTACCTGTTTCATCTTTCATGCATGATTCCACATCTGATCCAACACGGGATGTGATTGGACAGAAGATAATGACGATGTCAGAATCTTTCAGGTTTGACTCCTGGACACGTAGTGATGAGGATTTGCCCAGTTGTTTCTTTACTTGATCATCACCATGAAATGCCTCACCAGTGCATCTACAGAAAACCTTCACT